CATGAGACACCACCACCACCTCTTTCTTTTCTTTTTCCTCTCTAGCTTCCACATGAGAAAATTTATGACCCTTGACTTTCTGAATGGTTTATTTTGTTTAACATAATGCTCTGAGGTTCCATCGATTTTCCTGCAGATAACATAATTTCATTCTTCTTTACGGCTAAATAAAATACCATTTTGTATGTATACCACATTTTCTTTATCCATTCAACTGTTGATAGACACCTAGACTGGTTCCATAATTTGGCTATTATGAATTGTACTGTATATGGGTATGCATGTGTCACTATAGTATGCTAACTTTAATTCTTTAGAATTAATATTGAAGTGTGGTATACTTGGGGCATATGGTGGGTCCATTCCTAGTATTTTTGAGGAACCCCCTACTGATTTCCATAGTGGTTGTACTAATTTATAATCTCACCAACAGTGTTAAAAGTGTTTCTTTTTCCCCACATCTTATTTGGAATTTAATTATTGTTGTACTTTTTTGATGGTTGCCATTCTAACTGAAGTAAAATGAAATCTTAGTGTAGATTTGATTTGCTTTTTCCTAATTGCTAAAGATGTTGAACTTTTTTTTTTTTCCATATATTTGTTGACTGTTTGTATTTCCTCTTTTGAGAAATATGTGTAGTTCATTTACCCTTTTTTTGGTTAACCAGGGATCGAATTCAGGTACTCAACCACTGAGCCACATCCCCAGCCCTATTTTGCATTTTGTTATTTAGAGACAGGGCCTCACTAAGTTGCTTTAGTGCCTCTCTGTTGCTGAGGCTGGCTTTGTACTTGAAATCCTCCTGTCTCAGCCTCCCAAGCCACAGGGATTACAGGCATGTGCTACCACACCCAGCTGCCCATTTATTAATTGGGGTTTTTGATTCTTCATATATTCTGGATATTAATCCTCTGTCAGAGGAGTACCTAGCAAAGATTTTCTCCCATTCTGTAGCTTCTCTCTTTAAATTTTTCCTTTGCTGTGCAGAAGTTTTTAAATTTGATATCATCCTGTTTATTAATCCTTGATATTATTTCCTGTGCTTTGGAGTTCCATTAAGTTGTGAGCCTGCTCCCACATGTTTTAGTGTTGACTCTATGTCTTCTTTAAGGAGTTGCAAAGTTTCTGGTATAATTTTTAGGTCTTTGATCCATTTTGAGGTGACTTTGATGCCGATGAGAGAGAAGAATCTAGATTCATTCTTCTACATATTGATAACCATTTTTCCCAGTACCGTTTGTTAAAAAGGCACTTTTCTCCAACAAGTTTTTGGCACTTTTGTCAAGGATCAGGTGACTGTCTCTGTGGGTTTGTCTGTGTCTTCTGTACCATTGGTCTATGTGTCTGTTTTTATGCCAGTACCATACTGTTTTTGTTACTATAGCTCTGTAGAAAAATTTGAAGTCAGGTGTTGTAATGCCTCCAGCATTGCTTTTTTGTCCTAAAATTGCTTTGGTATGTATTCTGAGTCTTTTAGTCTTCCAGGTGAATTTTAGGACTTGCTTTTTTCTAGTTCTAGAAAGAATATCTTTGGTAATTTGAAGGATAGTGCATTGAATCTGTGTATGACTTTTGGTAATATAGCCATTTTAACTACATTATTTTTGCCGATGTATGAATATGAGAGGGCTTACCATATTCTAGTGTCTTCTTCAATTTCTTTCTTTAGCATTCTTTAGTTTTTCATTGTAGAGTTCTTTTGCCTATTTCTAGGTTTTTCCTCTCTTTTTTTTTAACCCCCTGAGGCTATTGTGAATGGGATTATTTTTCTGCTTTCTTTCTCAGCAGGTTCATTATTGGTGTATAGGAAAACTTGATATTTATATATTGATTTGTATCCTATAATTTCTTCTTTTCTTCATTCTTATGGAACTCCCTCTCAAGGCTGTATTTTTGGATAATATTTCAAGAATGAAAGAAACAGTCATTAAAGATTATTGTTAGTCATCACAGTATTCAGTATATCTGAAATTCAGAACATTTCTAAACACAGGACAAGCACCATTGTTAACTAGTGCTTTGCATTTATCTGAAATGGGAAAAAGCATGAGCCTGAGGCTTAATGGTGCCTTCATCAATAGAGGCTTTAAGACATTCTTATTTTAAATTATCCATTTGTTTTGTTTAATGGAAGTTTTTACAACCCAGGGCAATACATTCCAATAAGATTTGAGGTGGGGGAGCTGGGGCTGTGGTTTAAAGGTATAGTGCTCGCCTAGCAAGTGGGAGGTGCTGGGTTTGATCCTCAGTGCCACATAAAAAAATAAATAAATAAAATAAAAATAATGTGTCCAAGTACAACTAATAAAAAAAAAAGGATTTGAGGTGGATGAGAAGTATTGGTTTTTTGTTTGTTTACTTTACAGTACTGGATATGGAACCATGGGCATTGCACATGGTAGGCAAGTGCTCTAACATAAAACTACCGTCCTAGCCCTCCTTTTGGCTTTTTTGAAATGTATGAGATTGAGGATTCAGGGAAAATAGGCACATCAGTTTTAGGGAAGCAAAGAGAGGTTGAAGATGTGCTTGCCCAGGTACCCTTGGAAAACAATCATGACCCTTTAATAATACATTACTTAGTTTGAACACTGCCTCTTTAAGACTTTTTCACTACTGTCTAGATCCTCTTCTCCCAAAGGACAGATGCCACCCTCCTCTACCACACAGGATTGTACTTGGGTATGTTAGACTCTTCTGATTTCTTGTACAGGATTGATTTCTTTTAACACTAATACATATCTTTTAGGCCTGTTTGCAGGCACAATACTTGTCTCTTACCATGACAATTAGCAGTATTTGAACCTTTTGGTAGAGATTCTACCCTCAGGTTAGTTATATCTAATTGTAAGAAATGCCTGTACCTTAGGTAGGATATTTTGTGGAAAAGGAGAGATTCCTACATCTGTGCCTTTCAAGGTAAGAAAGAAAAAAGTAGTTTTAATCTTCAAATTATCATTTCTATATGATTATACAAATAGGAAAACTTAGAGACTAATTTACCAAATAAACATTTCTCTGAAAGAAAACAATTGGAAAAAAATTTATCTCCCCCTAAAATAGGTAAACATTTATGTTATCCCACAGAGCCATTTGTCCTTTGAATTGCTGTTCCATGTATAGTCCCATTTTACATTTGTATAACTAAATATCCTATTTGTATAACTAAATATCCTATTTAAAGCAGAATTGCCACCTTTGAATTGAGTCTTCCCAGTTTTCCATCCAAGCATAATAGAATGTTTTAGACAATCTGATAAGCTAATAAGCTAAAGTGTAGTAGTCCTTCTTTTTCTTTATTCTCATAGCTTTGTCTTTGTTGTTTTAATTACTTATAGCCCTTCTTCACAACAGTATGCAATAGAAAAATCTCCCAAATTCTTTCTTGGCCTGATAGTGGGACCATAGTCCTGTGATAATGGTAGAAGAAAATACTTCTCCTTTGACCATCATGCTTCCAACTTCATTACCTTTTCTTAATGCAGTTAGGAGCTGAGCTTTCTGCAGAGTGTTTCTCCAGTCTCACCTTGGGCACTCCATTATTTACATAATGGTTCTGTCTAATAATTTTTGTGTTTTGTGAATTTATGTGAATTTAGTCTCCCAAACAATGATTCCGGTTGTTTCTTTGCATGGGGCTTTGTCATCCTGGTCTTCAGATTTTTTCCCTTCTTCCTTTGTCACATGCAAATTGACCTTTTATTGGTAGAATGTTGGTCTTTGTCACTGGCGAGACCTACTTTTAAAAGCTCCCTTTAGTAGACTGCCAACTCATTTCTATGAGGTATCTAACCATCTTACATTGTAGTATGAAATGGGTGTGAGGGCATAAATAACTAATTGTCTATCAGTATTCATTCCCTTCTTTCTGGTTAGTGGTAGATATTGAAATTTCTAATTAATAAGTTTGTGGTGAAATAAATATGTCGGAGACTCTCTGCCAGCTTTGGCTGTGTGACCAAGTTCTGGTCCATGGAATGTGAGCAGAAGTTTCCTATGAGAGTTCTGAAAATTTTCCTTAAAGGGAAGCTGCTGCTCAACTTTTCTTCTCTTGTTTTCTAATCAGTAGAGGTTATGGTTAGAGCTTGAGCAATCATTTTTAAAACAATGAAGGGGAAGCCATGCATTGAAGGCAGAGAAACAAAACAGAACAATGATGGGTTCCTTAGGATTCTGGACTGCCTACATTTCCATTGAATGTATTTCTGAATAATTTAAGCCATTGTTTAAGTTTTCTGTCATTAACAGCAGAATCTAATCCTAACAGAGATATTAAAAAGTCATGCTGGCTGGGTGAGGTGGTGCATGCCTATAATTCTAGTAGTGGCTCAGGAAGCTGAGGCAGGAGAATCATGAGTTCAAAGCCAACTTCAGCAATTTAGCAAGGCCCTAAGCCACTTAGTGAGACCTTATCTCTAAATTAAAAAAGAAAAGAAAAAAGGGCTAGAGATGTGGCTCAGTAGTTGAGCACCCTTGGGTTTAATTCCCTGTAACAAAACAAAACAAAAAGTCAAGCTATTTTTCAAATAAGAAGCACACAAACTGGATCCCTTGGATGTTATGGTGTAGCACTGACGCACACAAAAACTATTAATCTCCACTATGAAGAATTTTGATGCTTAGATTTCATGCCATGTCACCTGTTATCCATGATTCCCTCCCCACCTCAGGTTTATTATGGTAAAAATCATTTTCTCTTTTCATCATGGGTCCATTGTCCTACTTTTATCCTTGGAACTGTTATACCTCTAGTGGGTGATAATGTACCAAAAATTATTGGAGACTACAGGATAAATGTCTTCCTGAATCACTGAGGATTTTGGACGGAGCTTTAATTTTCTATTAAAACATATAGATAGATGGAAAGCAAAATTCAGATGCGTGTTTTCGATATGAAAGAAACATTTGAAGTGTTTATCATTATGGAGAAGTACATGAGGCTATTCTTCAGATCACGCAGGGTAATGAGTTCACGCTTCTCTGCCTCTTCTTTTCCTAGGGATACTAGATGGAAACTTAAGTTGTGCTTATTGGTAAGAGCTGAAGGATTCCTGACTATAGAGTGAATAAAACTCATGGCCTACCAGCTAGAAAGGTAAGAAATCTTAATTAAGCTTTTATTGCAAAAGCATTCTTTTTATTTTTGACTGTCTCCAAATATTATTGAATTTAACTGATGTTTCTATACAATATTACTTAGAACGCTACCATATTGATAATGCTTAGTTTTAAAAAAAAAGATTCTGAGTGTCAGCAAAGTTGGAAATGTCCTTTTGGAGATAGAACATGTATCAGCATATTAAAGTGCATCTAAGACTGATTTTAAAGTGTTAGATTTTGTTTAATTCAGAGGCTCCTAAACTTATTTGACTGGAGACAAGTAGGCCCAACATAAACATCCCAATTCTCCTAGGATTTTATAAGACTAGTAACAGTAGTAAATCTATGAAGTACTTTCTATGTTTCAGAAATATTTGTGGCAAAAAGTTTACATACTCTATATACAAGCAAATTAAACATTAGATTTATTTGCTTTTGTATTGATTTGTTTCAGCCAAGTAAATTACCATTATTATTTCATACTGATCAGAAATATTAATTTGACATTATAAGGTCCTTGAATTATACCATTTTTGAGCATCTATGTGCTAGCCATATGGTATTGATATTAGAGATATGAAATACAGTGGGTTTTGATCTCAAGCCATTTATAGTTTCTAAATACAGCTTTTTTAAATGGAAAGCAATCCCAACAACTCAACTCTGGAGGCCAGGATAGAAGGTTTACAAGTTCAAGGCCAGACTCAGCAACTTAGGGAGACCCTATCTCAAAATTTAAAAAATAAATAAATAAAAAGGGCTGGGGATGTAGCTAAGTGGTAAAGTGCCCCTGAGTATAATCCCTAGTACTCCCCCTCCCCATTAAAATTTAAAAATTCGGGCTGGGGATGTGGCTCAAGCAGTAGCGCGCTCGCCTGGCATGCGTGCGGCCCGGGTTCGATCCTCAGCACCACATACAAACAAAGATGTTGTGCCCGCCGAAAACTAAAAAATAAATATTAAAAAAAAAAAATTCTCTCTCACTATCTCTCTCTGTCTCTCACTCTCTCTTTAAAAAAATAAAATAAAATGGAAGGAAAAATATCAGTTTAATAAAGTGATCTGGCATGCAGAATCTTTCAAAACATGGCAGTCTAATGGTAGACTTTGCAAATATATCAAGATGTGTGAGCAAATTGGCCTGTGCTTTTGTACCTAAACCCAGAGGTCCAAATCAAAAGAAAAAAACATGCATAAATGGAGTTACTCTAATTTTGTCAAAAATTTGGAAAATAATTGAAATGTGGGGCTAAGGCTGTAGCTCAGTGGTTAAGTGCTTGCCTTGCATATGTGAGGCACTGGGTTTAATCCTAGCACCACATAAAAATAAATAAAGATACTGTGTGTTCATTTACACTAAATAAATATTTAAAAAATAATTGAAATGTGTATGTATTTAAAAGGTGAAAAAAATTTAAAGCAAATACAAGGAAGAAAGGGTGGTAACACTTGATAATTTTTTCTTATATACTAATCCTTAAATAGTAAAAGGATTAAATAGTTTTAAGCTACTTAACTAACTTGAATGTTCAAGTTGATGATCTGGTTAGAAGTATTCTTCATAACCTTTAAGTTCCATGAAGGCAAGGTACCATGTCTGAATCATCGTACCCTGGAGTACGATGGGCTGAAAGGCTGCCATCAGTTCATGAAGCTTTGTCCTAAGAGCATTTTTCTTCATAACTGATCTTTCCTTTCCTCTCATTTTGACTAGCACTACTTGAGTTAATACCATCATTCCTTCTTCAATCTCACAGTATCTTCTAGTTTTCTTGGGTAGTGAGCTCTCTCTTATCCATCCTCCACATTTCTATTAGTGATCTTACCAAATTAAAAATTTTCAATTTCTTAACAGCATGGCTAGGGAAACTTTTCTTAATTTGAAGAGGACCAAAAGAAAATATTTTAGGCTTTGTAGGAACCACCTGTGATCTCTGTTGCCTACTCTCTATACCATTGTTTAAAAATGTGAGAAACTTTTTTATTTCAAGAGTTTGGCCTACCCGGGCGTAGTGGTGCATGCCTGTAATCCCAGCAGCTTGGGAGGCCAAGGCAAGAGGATTGAAAGTTCAAAGCCAGCCTCAGCAATGATGAGGCACTAAGCAACTCAGTGAGACCCTGTCTCTAAATAAAATACAAAAAAGGGCTGGGGATGTGGCTTGGTGGTTGAGTGCCCCTGAGTTCAATCCCCAGTACCCTGGCAAAAAAAAGCCAAAAAAAAAAAAAAAAAAAAATCCTCATTCTAAGAATACTAGAAACTTCCAGTAAATCCAAAAATCCAATCGTAGAAATTACTTTCCTTTCTCTTGACTTTATTCTTCTGTATCTTCTCCATTCTTTTTATTAAATGTGTCGCTGTAAATATGACCAAAAATGTCCACTAGTCTCAAATATGATTCTGAATGTCTTGTTCCCACTTCTGTTTGACTATTCCTTTTTACCAATTTCCTAAAGAGGTAGTCTGATTGACTTACCTTGGTCAGGTGTCTCCCCTGATTTATCTGAGACAGCTATGTCAGGATCATGGATAATAGGATTGCCTTTTATTGCACTGTTGGAAAATCAGGCACTCTAGTGGGATCATGCAGGTGTTTAGGAGAGATGACCAAGTCCAGCATACTCATGTTCCCATAGCATCTGTGTTTATATAAAAGAAAGATTAATCATGTACATAAATAAATTATCATTTTCACTTGTTAATCCTCCTTTTTAATCCAATTTTAAGTGCAGAATCCATACCTTTTGTATTTAATATGGTTGCAAAATAAGCAGTCAATGTTTTCCAAATAAATTTCATAAAAATAAATGATTTTTATTAGAAATGTTTGAGAATGCTCTGTATTATATGTAACACTATTATCCATATTTTAGAAATTTGCTTTTAAATTTGAGTGCATTCTAAGAGTTTACAAAATTTTATAGTTCTGTAACCAACTAAGTAGATTGTCAGTTAAATTCACATTTTAAAGTATAGAAATTTCTAGAGTCACCAGAAATTGATCCACCGCTTCTGTTTTTAGAAATTCATTCACCAGCACTGTTTTTTTATGAAATGAATTATTTTCCTTCTTAATCTGTTTTTGATCAAGATGTATGAAAATAAATATTTTCCCTGCTAATTCATCTGAATGGTAGACTTTAAAATGGCATAGGAATATTGATACTACAGCCTGAAGGATTTTTTTATTTGTGCAATAGATTTGGCCCACATTTCATATTTTTAAAAAGGGAACTAATAAGATAAATAATTATCTAGTATCCTCTATAAGTTCATTCAGATTGGTAAATTCTTTTACTATAGTATAATTTCATTTTCTATTTAACCTTGCAATATAGAATATGCTTTTCAATTCCTTGATGTATTTTATAACTTGAAATTATAAGCCAGAAAAAGGAGAGAATTGTTAGAGAATCAGTACAATTTATTATTACTATTTATTAGTATTTTTAGTATTATTATTTATTATTAGTATTTTTCTCATGACTACTGCTAAAAACGTTAGTTATATAATAATGCTTATGTAGTGAATTATTTTAGCACATATTATATATGCATTACTTAAGCTTCTCTTGTTAGTTTTTTTCCTTATTTTTAAAAAAATGTTTATTTATTTATTTTTTGTTGTAGTTACATATAATAATTTTATTTATATGTGGTGCTGAGGATCGGACCTAGGACCTCACACGTGCTAGGCAAGCGCTCTACCACTCAGCCCCAGCCCCAGCCCCTTCCTTATTTTTTTTAAATTCAAGACTAAATTGCCAATGTGATGCCTTATTATTACCAAATTTTATATTTCTCTACAAGACATTCTCCTGCAAAACCACAGTATAACTATGAGAATCAGGAAATCAACACAGGTCTGTTTCTACCCTCTGTATTAGACCTGAATATTGCAGATCACATTGAAATTTTTGCCAGTCTTCTCAGTAATATTTTTTATAGCAAAAAGATTCCATCTAATATCTCATGTTGCAGTTATTTGTTGTATCTTATTGATCTTTTTGATCACAAACAGTTCCTCAGTCTTCCCTTGACATCAATAACTTGAACATTTTCAAAGATTATTTTACAGAATTTACCTCAGTTTGGGGTTCTCTGATATTTCTTCATGATTTGATCCTCAGAATTATTGTAGTAGAAGTGATGACATGTCTTTCTCATTGCATTCCAAAAAGGGCACACAACTTTGCTTTTTATTTCTAACATTGTTAACTTGGATCACTTGATTAAGGTGATGTTTACTAGATTTTTGTACTGTAAATTACTCTTTGTCCTTAGTTATTACATTTTATTTTATAGAAGGGTACTTCGAGATGAAATAAATATTTTATTCCTGTTCAAACTTTTAATTTATTCTTGTGTATCAGTATGGATTTGTGAACTCTATTTATTTAGGGTTTACTTTACTATCATTATTTGTTTTGATCCTTCACTGTCATTATTTGCTTTGATTCTCAAATTGTCCCACATTTGGTCACTTTCAGGGCTAAATCTGCAAGATTTTCGTTTTGTTTTTACTTTCTACCTAAGATATTTAAGGTCTGCCCTGTACTTTTCTCTGCCCATCCCTGAAATCAACGAGTATTTCAAGGAGCCGAGGAACCATTTGGTGGAAAATAGTATTTACACAATAAAATATGGAATGCTATATGTGCTTTTTTTTTCCTTTTAAATATATATATATATATTTTAGTTGCAGATGGACACAGTACTTTTATTTTTAATGTGATGCCAGGGATCGAACCCAGCGCGTCATGCATGCTAGGCAAGCATTCTACCACTGAGCTACAGTCCTGGCCCCAATATATGTGCTTTTTATCCGGGTTCCTGGCCCTCTCAGTGGACATAACTAGATAAATTTTATGAACATATATGCATACATGTATAGACATTAACATCTTTATTTCTGTATCTTTATATTTATTTTGAAAGTCATGAGTTCGTGTCATTTAACACAAAGGTTCACCCCATATTTATAGTTCATTTGATCT